AGGTTTAAACAAGGGAAACAGCTTAAATGACATCAATGACAGAAGCTGATTTGTTCATATAAAGAAACTGCTAAAGACTCCACCATTAGCTTGCAAATATCTACAACAGCCATTTATGACACAAGGCAAGATAAAGTTGGGTTGGAAACAATGTCAAATTGATCAAAACAAAGTCTATAGGCTTGTCTTGTCATGCTTCACACAGAGAAATGTGTATTTTCAACTAGAAATAAAAAAATCCATTAGGATAAAAAGTCTCCTCTGGCTATTTAACTGTTTCTAGTACAACACAGGAGACACACACCCATGTGCTGCTGTGTTTCAGTATTATATTTGCATGAAATGCAAGTAGTCTGTATACTGAATGTCTATGACTAGGACTGCAAGACTTTTATGGCTATCTGCTTGTGCTTTATGATGCAGATCTGTCTGTTAACTTAGGTAGCACCACCAGCTTGTACTGCCACATTGCCCCTCCTGAATTCCCCAGTGATAAGAATTCAGCATACAAGAGCCACACAGTTACTAGCCCAGTTGCTGCAGGGTCAGGTATTAGTCTGGACACAGACTAGGGACAATATTAAATTAAGAAATGCATGTCAGATCTTGAACCAGATGCTGTAGAAATGCTCATGTGGTAATCGCCTAAGCTTCCTAAGGTAATAGGACAAACTTGACAACATGCAAGGCAATGCCCCTACCAAAGTAGCTGTTCAGAACATGTGGAATGTGGTTAGATAACCCACTACCTGTGTGGGACTGAGAACAATACAGTAACCTGTATAGCTAACAGTGTCTCAAGAATAATTAAAATGGGTAAAAAGCACTCACTATGGAGTTTCTTTACACCTGTAGGATGCAAGCTATACAGTGGTCAGACTTACTGATGTCAATCAAAAGATATATAAGAATTAATCTATCTTCTATAAAGACTTGAAAACGCAGTGTGAGCCGTTCAGAAAAAAAATAATAATTTAAGACTCCATGAAGAATTACCTCAGAAGATTTTTAGAGCTGCCTGGGAAGCTTCCCTTACTGCTTCGGAAATTACTGATATAAGCAGCTGTCCTACAGAACTAAAGAGGATGAGTTTACCCCATTTTCTACTCTAAAAACATGCATTAAAGCATTTTTGTTTATTTTAACAAACAAAATTCTGGCAACTAGTATTTTGAGCAGCCATGTATATTTATGAGATAGACTGCTTCCACATATGGAGGTAGGCTACAGAGGACTACAGGATTCAAATGATTTCAGGAAGGGCTTCCGTGAACAATGCAAGATGTTTATTTCTAAACCCTTAACGGTCTTGGTTCTTTTGCCGTGAGTACTTTTGCCTCAGATTCAGAAAGCAAAGTTTGAAAACCAGCTTTATAATGAGGAAAAAACTCCCCAACATTTAAACTGCAGAACATGTTTGGACAGGAAAAATGGATATTCTTCCTAATTCTACTTTGGACAGATACCTCAAAGTTGGATCTAACTAGTTCTCTTAAATGGGTGGAAGAATAGTTTAAGTCCTGCTACTGGATACTGTGTAGCTTCTTTATTGTCACTTTTCCTGGCAATCACACTTACATTACTTCCTTTAATAGCCAGAAATAAACTTCCATTACTACTTTGCTTTGAATAGCAACCACTAAGCAACACAACACAGGCACAAATGCAGCAGGCCAAGGCTTTATTAGTCAACTACATGATCTCAGTATGGTAAAATCCCTCTTTTGGCAAAGGAAAGGGTAAACAAGACACCAGTTGTTTTCTGGGAATGTTCTAGCCTGTTATATCTATGCATTTCTGTATGTACACATGCATGTGCCTTACAGTAATACTGTCTTTCTCCAAAGCACGCTTTTTGAGGAATATTTCCTACTGATGGGTAAGAAGGACAGACAGCTGACAACTGAAGTAAAAATTAATCTTAAACATTAGTTTTATCATTCTACAAGACTGCTAAATACAGAGTAGAGAAAAGAACAGAGGCCTAATACATGCACATAGTTCTTAAATATTTCTGAAACTATCATCACATAAACTTTTGTTTGCGTAAGTCTTTGCTGCTAGCTAGTCAGAATCTATATCTACCATTTGGCTCTGGAGCTATGTCCTTCTCTCAAGTAAAACAGCCTGCTCTTTCAACACGGCTGATGCTGTATCTTATACAGACATGTTCAAAGATTTCTACAGGTATCCTGGCACTGTAAGGGTTAACTACATAACCCATGCATGATACACTATAGTCTTCAGTGATTTATAAGCATGGATTAAAAATGCTGTTGAGTAATTAAGGGGATATTCCTCCCTCCCCCCCCCCCCCCCAAACCCCCTAGCTTTTTTTTCTCTCATCCCCCGATAACCACCATACAATTAGAGAGCGCCCCTTTGACCCCAGTAGTTCTATCTAAAAAGTCTAGTACTTTTGGAAAAGATGAGCAGTCTAAGGCTCAAATTAAATGCATAAAAAGTATTTTGACAATTTATCTGAAACCTAAGCAAGTAGAATAAAGTGTGTGCTTCAACACTTAACACAAATGCACTTGAAAACATCTAACAATCCAGATGCAGATTCAGAGACTTGCAATGTCCAGCTTTTTAGATCCAGTGTACTTCCATCAATGCAAAAATTCAACAGTATTACTTTCTTAGCCCCTAGTTTCCCAAATAAGCCACTAAAAACATTCTCCCCATTGCCACCACATAAGATGGCATTTGTAGACACAGGGCCACAGATACCTTCTGCTTAAAAATTTAATCTAATTTTAGCTGAATTACCTCAAATGTTGTTCTTCCTGTTTAGTTTCTACATCCTCAGCAAGTCACAAAACTATAATTTCTTTCCAGTCCTGAAGTCAAGTACTGAAGTCTTGCTAGATTTGCCTCCATTTTGCATACTCCGTGTTCTTTCCTCAAATGTTGCCCATTCCACATGATTTCCTTCCTTTTTCCCTTCTATTTTTTTGATACTGAACAGTCCAGAATCAGCATTAAAATGAAAATGGTCTCTTTTGTCCACGAAGTGCTACCTTTTCACCTACCGTGCCTACTATTTCTCCTCACTTATTTGTACTGGCTCAAAGATTAAGATTTTGCTCCTTCAGCTGTAACTATTCTAGATCATGCCACCTCTTTTAGTGTTGAATAAGAACACCTTTTAAGGAATGCATTTGTTTGTCACTAAAAAGGATTATATCCTAAAGCTTTTCGATCAGAATTAGAAAGTTAGTACACGCACGCAATTACTCACTTGTATCATCAGAAGGAGAGGAATCTATTTGAACTTTTTTTTACAAAAAACTTTATGCTCATTATCCACCTGATAATCAGAGATGCATTAGGTACTGGACAACTCATTCACTAGCATGTATTTTTTGACATGGAGAGAGGTGCTAATGTTAGAATCAGGTACTAACAAACCAGAATGAAGTAAATGAAAGCTGTTTGTTACTCTTACTATAACTTTTAAAAAAATACTAAATATTTCAAAACTAGAAGGCTTTACCACTAAAAGAATACCTCATCGGTTGTCCACCATTTTGCATTTAGGACAATTTTGGGAAACAAGTAAGGGCAGTATGAGAAGCTGAACTATGTCATGCTATTATAAAAAAAGGTTAGTAAGTGGGGATGTATGAACTGAGTATGGGCCTGAAAGACATGCGAAACAATCTTTCTGCTTTACATAGCACTAGTATCTCAGATGGAGCTCTTTGTCCACCGCTGTACTGTCTCTAGCTAGGATGGAGTTAGTTTTCTTTACAGCAGCCTGTTTGGTGCTGTGTTTTGGATTTGTGACTAAAACAGTGTCGATAATACACAAATGTTTTAGCTACAGCTGAGCAGTGCATGTGCAGTGTCAAGGTTTTCTGTTTCTTACTCTGCCTCCCACAGCGATTAGGCTTAGGGTAGGCAACATCCTGGGGGTGCAGGGGCAGACACAGCCAGGACAGCTGACCAGAATTGGCCTAAGGGATACTTCATATTATGTGACATCATGCTCAACCATAAAAACGAAAGGGTAGTCTTTCCAAAGCAGGTGTTGCTCAGAGACTGGCTGGGAATCAATCTGTTTGTGGGAAGTTGTGACTGCCTGCCTTGCCATCACTTCTTCCCCCCACCTCTTTCCTTCATTTATTAAACTCTTTATCTCAACCTCTGAGTTTTTCTCGCTTTGGCTCTTCTGGTTCTTTCCCCTATCCTACTGGACAGGGAGAGAGAGTGAGCAAGCAACTGGATGAGCACTTACTTGCTGGCTGAGGTCAACCCACCACAACCACCCTTCAAGAAAGGCATGCAGTAAATCAAGGTGAGATATGCAAGAACTCACATATGTCCAGAAGTATGAACTATAAGCAAAACTTCAAAAGACGTAAATTCTTTAAAGTAGCAAAGACTGAAAAACTTATTCAAATACATAGCAGACTACAGCAACCAAGATAATGACCTCTTCAGCAGTTCTAGAGGAACTAGAAAAAGAAATTGTGTGCATGAACTGCAGCAAAAAAGATTCCTGCTGTGTAGCAGAGGGGAAAGTTGACAACAATACAAATACCAAAGCACTGCAATAGATTGTTCTGAAGAGCCTGTGCAATATTAGAGGTCTTTAGAACAGGTTAGATTAACATCTGCCAAGGATACCAACCGCTTGGCTTGCTTTGGACTAGCAAATCTATTCTACTCTTCCTTTAGATTTCAGGACAGACAGAAGTACCCATTTCTCTGATCAAATATTAAAAAAAAAAAAAAACAACACCACCAAAACAAGTATATTAATTACTAGAGTCTCAACAATATGATTAGTGCTATGCAAAGAGATACAACATAGAAACTATCTTTCTCATAATATAAATTAAAGAGCAGTTAAGTTAAATTAAGGAATCCAAAACCTAGAGGCATAGTATCTGTCCAAATAACAAAGTGCAATTCAAAACAACTCTTTTACTAAAATACCAGTGTTACTCAAATATCAGCGTTCAGAAATCAGTGTTCAGGGTTCAAGTTACCTCCTCTACATTGGAAGCAGTTTTGGCAGATGTCTCCATGAAGATAAGTCCATGCTCTCGTGCAAATGCTTCACCTTCCTCTTTCTTGACTTCTCGTCTAGATTCTAAATCACTAAGATGGAAAAAACATAAGTTAGTTGCATGATCTAACCTGTCCATGTAAATATTCTTCAAAGACACACTTACAGGCCAAGAGCCCCCATTAGAACTTATGTACATATGTAAATCTATTCAAGCCCTTACCTAAAGTAGAATTATTCTAAGCCTTGCACTTAAGGTATATGGAATAGCCACAGACATCACACTTGCTTGAGCTATCAATCCTAGCTGACACAGATCTTATCAAAGACTTCATGAAATGGCTTTCAACACAATGCGTGTATATTTATCTAGCTATTCCTTGAATGCTAACTTTAGACATTGTCATTTTAGGTAAATATGACTCTTTTCTAGTATAATGTTATCTACCAATCCACACTGTAAATCTGAACTGATAAGGGAGTTTTATAAATGACTTCTTAATGATATTAAAAATAATTTTAAAAATAAAGTTCATTTTTTCTATTCAGTAACAAAACTTCATACAGTCAATTTCTGTTTTGATTAAAAAAAAATTAAAAGAAAAAATAAGTTATTTTGAACTACATTAGCTGTTCTCTCCCAAGCTAGCATTTAGGTTTTGAAACTCCAGGCCTGGCCCTCTAACAGCAGAAGAATTTGAAGTGACTGTCACACAGTTTCTTGTTTCCTGCTTTCCAAGCAGTTTAGATGAAAGTTAAATATTACACAAAAGAACAGAAAAAAACCCCTCCTGGACTGGACAACTAAAGACAAATCTCCTTCTGTAAGTCATATAGACATGTAAGTATTTCACTCTTCCTTTTTAAAGCTTCTTTAGGAACAAGGAGCACACAGTTTGTCCTTCTTTCTAAGTATATTAGATCTTGAGCAATAACAATGCTACATTTACACATAAATAATGACATATATATTTAAATAAAGTTTCATTTAAGTTGAGCATGTAAAAAGATCTTCTCCAATACGCATTTTTAAACTAAACAGCGTGCAAATACAGTGGTTTAATTTGCAGCAAGAATACCAGTACAAAGTACCATACTGGGCTTCAGTGCTGCCATCCTTGTAATTATACATGTATTTTAAAAAAAAAAAAAAAAAAAAAGATACTCACTGTGGCATCAATTTTGCAGCAAAGCAGGTTTTTGTTATTTTTACAACTACATGCTAGCTCAGATGAGTGAGAGGTCAAGACAATTCAGCACATCATTTAAACACGGAGCATTTGAAGATAAGGATTCAATATATGTCTTCTCAAAACAATTTTAAAGTTGATGTTCATTATATGTAAGCATTCCCAGAATCTCAGCTTCAGGCTTAAGATATCTTAACAAGGTGTGCATTCTCACGTCCCTGAAATAGCTATCTGACATTGTATGTTTGAACTTGAGCAGTGTCTTTATTTGCTACTATCATGCTACCCTCAAAAATACCTTATTTAACACCTTCATTCACTACAGTGTTATCTCCATAACAGAACAGAAATAAACAACTATTTTGACTTGAAATAGTGCAGCTACATCGAAAACTGCAGTGATAAACCAGTCAAAACTCACTACTGATATCTAAACATATTCTTAAAGAGCTTTAACTGCTTCTACTAACCACAGTTGTCTTCCTCTCTCCATTCCAATAATTCGAAGCATTTGGTCTTACTAGATCAATATAGCTATGTTTTGTTCTGGAAAGAAGATTAAGTACAGTATTTGTCATGTTTTAACACTAGTATTTGTAATGTTTTCAAAAAAAACAACTATTATTTCAGGTTAAATTCTCAACACTCTTCAAATCCAGCAATAAGTCAGTACTACAAATGTATTATCAAGTGCACTTTTGGGACTCATAAGAACAAAATTTATTCCTTCAGAAATATTATGCTAGTATACATGTTCTTCCTTCCATCTATCTCTAAGTAGTACGCCCTATCATATGAACTCCTGTAACACACTTTCAAGGTAATGCAATATAATTGAAGGAGTTTTCTTCCCATCCTCCTCTTTGAAGCTTGAAAATAACCCCCCTTAAAAAGCTTCTTAAAGAACTTTTACTTCATGTGGCACCTTAATCTGTAACTTAAAATACATCATTTAAGTATATGTATTGTTTGAATAAAATGTAGTTGCAACTGGGAATTACTGAGCTAACTGCAAGTAGCATATTATAATATAAAATCATGTGGTATAGTCTGCATCAGCAGAATGCAAGACATAAAAATTTAGCTTAACAGCTAAGAAAAATCAGGAATAGTTACAGATGTCAACTAAGTATGTAAACTTATGTAATACTTATCTAAAGTAAACTTTACTGTTTCTCTCAGTGCCATATTTTTACTCACATAAGCATAAAAAACAGTGTGTCAGGGACATCACGGGCTTACCAAAGCTTCATTTAATAAAATAGATTACATTTTTATATTCATTTGTGAAGACTATTCTTATCACATTCCTCAATTAAAAAGAACATGATGAGTAATTTTCCAGATTATGTATAAAAACATGGACAAGCTTTACAATTACTTAACACTTAACATGTTTTTCAGGGGGAGGTAGAGGGTGGGGGGCAGAGGGAGGAAAACAGAAAGGAGGAGAAGTGGGAAGAAGAAGAAAAGATGTGAAAAGGCCAGAGTAGCAAAACCAGACTCTATTTACCACAAGGCTGTTTCTCAGCAGTATCTAAGAAATGATCTGGCTGTTCATTAAATTTTAAGGGATAAGCATACACACCATTATTTCAACTAGCATCTTTACCTTCAAGAATTGCTGAGGCATGGAGACAAGTTAAGGTTAATTAGGTAAAGGCCCATAACTACAGGGTTATTAAATTCTGAAATTATGCTTTTGATATTTGGAAAAATCCTATATCCAGCAAAAAAATCTAGACATGATGCTACAGTTCACTGGATCAAGAACTAGAAAAATTACAGATAAACTTAATGTATTCAATGATGTGTTTTTATAAAGACCTTCAATAGAGATCAAAGTCTCAGCATCAATAGGGAACCATTTTAGAACTCTGGACAGTCTAGCTGATGAGAAGACCAAGTAAATAGTTGTTTACAATTTGGGTAACACACTTCCAAAACTTTTAGTTGTATTTTCATCACCTAGTGTCTAACAGCAGCCTGAATTCACCAGGAAATGGTGAAAGAGCATTCTCTGCCCCCAATCCCAGCTAAAACATACAGAATATGAAACAGGCTTAGAATTCAGAATCATCTCATATAATCACTGAGGTATGCACTTTTTACATTTGAGAAAGATTTTTAAAATGGATCCTGTAGTATGGGCTTTTTTTTTTTTAATTACATTTTCTCTGCTGTGATTCTTAACCAAAAACTAAAGCACTTCAGAACACAAAATTAGGAGTCATATTCTCTTTATAAGGGAGAGATCTAGGTGCTTCTAAATGGTGATTCCAGGTATAAAAAAAAAAAAATGTAACGAGAAAAATAGTTCATATAATCCATGACTTCATGCATTCACAGTCAATCTTTTTAAAACAAAATTACTTCTAAAAAAGGTACTCAGAACAAAAGGTAGTTGATCCACATGTGCTGCACATTGTATTAGCATAATTAGAGAAGCAAAGGTTTTAGATTTACCACAGAACTATGTCCAGTGGCTGAAGTAATTTAAAGTTAACATACTGCCTACAAATAAGAAAACACAAAAGCTGAAATCCAGAGAAGTCATAAATTTTTACCACTTACAAAATCATAACTGGTTAAATTTTACCTTTTATTTCCAATAAGCATTATAACCATGTTGGAATTGGAATGCTGACGAGCATCTTCTAACCAAGTCGTCAAGTGGTTGAAAGTGTCCCTCCTAAGTATGGAAGGGAATGAAAATTAAAAGCAGTATTTCAAGATATTTCTTTCCCTTCTGTTAGTCAGTTTCTGTACTTGAGTAACCAACTCATTTATTAGTACACATGCTCCAGGGATAAAAGCTAGTAATCCCTTTGCGAGATGGAGAATAGAAGAACAAAAATTTAGTAACCAAGGCGCATTAATGAACTCTGCCTAAAAAGTAATTGAAAACATGTTTGCTACAAAGAGTACAGAGGATTCTTATAGCTGTAAGAATCTATAATTTTATATATATAAAGTCTGCTGAACGGAATTTTAAAAGTCCCTAGCAGCTTCAACTAATTCAAACAACAGTACAAATAATCACATACTCATATAGTCATGTTTGTTCTATTGAAGGCAGAAAATGGATGACAATTTTCTGCGAGTTTATAAACTGAATAATGAATTTAGCAGCAAAGTCTTTTAAAGTAAGGTACACAACTATGGCATGTTACAGCTTTTATAGAATGTGTACACTAAATATTAAATTACGTGCTTGTAAGTGTGTTTAAGATTTCACAAAGTAAAACCATCTATTTATGAATCAAAGATTCATTTGCTGGAAATCGAATGGAAGGAATATGTTGCTTCCTGATATTTAAAAATAAACAGGGAACAAAAGGAAAAACAACTAGGTAATCTCTAGTAAAAGTTGTCGCTTAATTCAGCAATGAGACCCAAGATCCACAAAGTGAGCCACACACCCTAATAGGATTTTAGAGCCTGAACGTTTTCATAAACCAGGCACAGTACCCACAGTTTTGCAGATAAGTTGTATAGAGACTTTATTCAATACAGAAGCAAAACCTTAGTCACTTCTGAACAGCTGCTAAAAAAAACCCAACACTAAGACCTGTATTTTCCCAACCTCATAAACACAGCAATGGTAGAAGTTTCTTGGTATTTTTATGTAATCAAACTTTGATGTTTTACTATTTCACTCCTTTGCAGAATGGCACTCCAGTAAAAAAAATCTGCTATAATTAGAGAAAAATTATAGCTCATGGTAATAAAAACACTAGAAAGGAATTAATGAAATATTTTAACGTCTTTCTGAATAAAGGTAATGCAGAGGTTCATGGTCAAATAGTTTATAAAAATAGTTTAATTCTTCCTGAGACTTTATGTATACTTTTTCTCAACCACTATACAGAGAAATTGGAAGGATATAGGTTACATAGGCTATATCTTGATTTTGAGCATTTAAGGAAAGTTAGCAAAACATTAGACTACAAATATCTATACAAAAAGCCAAACTAAATTAATCATTTTAATACTGCTACATACCATAGCACAATTCTACAAAGACATATAATATTAATCCAGTTATACCTCCTTGGTATTCTCACCTTGTAATGTCATACACTAGTAAAGCTCCTGCTGCCCCTCTGTAGTATGACCTTGTAATGGAACGGAAGGACTCCTGCCCTGCCTGTAGAAGACAAAGTTTCATTATTTCATATCTCAAATTTACTTTTTGGTGCTGAAAACCACAAACTTAGAATGAGAGAATCGTAGAATTCTACTTTTGAGAGGATGGGGACAAGGAGTATGGAGTGGAAATCAGAGAGAGCACAACTGGGGACAGAGTCTCTAACACTAGCAAGAGAAGGCACATAAGGAGAAGACACCAACTAAAGCACAGTGCTGTTTTTAAAAAAAAAAAAAAAAAAAAATCGGAACAAGACCTCTAAACCTTTTTTGGCAATCCCTGACAACCCAATTTACTGAATGGCTTCACAATACATGAATCATTATTAGAGCACAGAATGGACTCCTAGCAACTAAGCTCTGAAGACAAATTTGAAAGGAAGCAAATAACCCAGAGCTTCACATTTGAATTCAATAACCCGCTCCCTGGGGCAGCTGTTGACACTAGAATAAATAAAGCCCATTGTAAATAAATGATGAATGACATCTTTACGCCCACCATCTGCTGGTGTAAAGGTTGTTGGAAGGCCAAGGATGCAGATTTTATCCGTTATATCATAAACGGCAGCCAGCTTTCAACAGTCTTCAGATGGAATTCTTTCAGTAATCATTTTATTATGAAAAAAACAGAAAATGGTCCTGAATTCAATTTTACACAATTCTGCTCCACAGTTAATCAATTTCCTCTGTACTTGATAAATAATACTTGTCAAAACAGCTACAGGATGTAAGAGTCATCTTCGTATGCACTGGTGAAAAACTTCAGAGATCCTACATAAATTAGATAGCTCTCACAAAAGTATTCTGTAAAAAATCTCAGCACTTAAAACAACATGCTCAAAAGAACACAGCCCTGAAAAATAAATATTCATAGTTGCAGACCTTGAGCTCCCCACGCTCATGTTTTTCAGAAGTGCTATCTAGCACCTGACAGTTGTTAGGAGAAACATTTACTTCTAATATTTAGTAATAACAGAAGCTTTAGCACAATTCAAAGGTAACACAGAACACAATTAAGAAATACTAATATTAATGCTGGAGAAAACTCTACATGCAGTAAGATAGTTATCTGCAGAACTATAGGAAATTACCCTGATTTAAAACCATGAAAAGCAAGAATGAAATATTTATCAATGTAAGCTACTCTTCAGCCCCAACCTACAAAATTAGTGTACAGAGAACTTTCTCTTCTCACAGTTACTGTACTTTTCTTAGTATAAGGTCTTCTGGAATTCAAGGAGAACTTAATCTAGACTCTGTCATTGAACAAGAACAGTGGCACAAGAAGTTTCAACATGTTCAGTCTTCAGAAAGCACCCTTATCTTCCAGAATAATCAGCTACTTCAGTTTAAGAAAATAAGCTTATCTTAGCCATTCTAGTGGAAAAAGTTACAAAAGACAATATATTTAACAGTTTCAACACGATAAGCATACACTAGCATATATGCTCTTGGCCAAGAGTACAAGTGCATCTTCATGTAAACTAAGGTAATAGAACACAGACAATCTGCTAGAATGCACCAAGGAATAGTAAAAACCCAAGTTTTTAGAGCAATACTTTGTTCCCTACCCAGAAGCTCCACTAAGCTCTACAACTTTTTCTTGATGTGGTGACTAGCTCAAGTGCGTGGTAGATGCATAAAACATTTTCCTCCTAACTAAGCAACAGACAAGTTATTGTTACCAGTGTATTCCATGTATTGCCTAAAATCATACATGAAGTGGACTTAGCCTACCACATTAAGACTGCCTGTTTCACCTTCATAAATTCCACCCTGACACATGAAATTGTTCATCTCCCTGAGTAAATTAACCATGGTCAGCCAAGATTGTCAGAGGTTCTAGCAGATCTTACAAGAATGTAAGAACTTTGAGTTCTTACAAGAATCACTTACGTACAAATGTCCGGTATCTAAATCCTGAAAATACTGTAACATTTTTAATTGTGTCTCGCTTACCCACAATGAAATTGAAATATCATTGCTTCCTGAAGGAAAGACTGGGGAAAGGGTGGAAAATGTTACCCCTTCTTCTCCAAAGAAGATATAATCTTCCATACAGCGATAATGAATTTGTGCTTACACATACCAATAGATAACACAAACTGAATTCCCTTTCATTCTAAACAGAAGAAAACTGAGTTTCTGTAAAGAAAGTCCATGATATTTATGTTTATATAATATATACTTTATATTATATATAAAATAGTAAGAAACACCTTATATATATAATTTACTGTCTATTTTGACAGTATCATTCCAAATGAGAGATCTAGAAGGTCAATACAGCAGCATTAGGCATATAGAATATACTCTACAGCTTTTTTTTAGTACCATTATTACTCTAAGCATTTTTCATCTGACAATTTGGTCTCTGCCCCCTCTCCCCTCACTTTTTTTTCCCCAAAGGGGGACAAGCTATTTCAAAGAAGACAAAAACAAAACCAAAAAGTGTATGCTATTAGCCAAAGACGACTTTTTAAAAAAAAATACAAGTGTGTTATAACTGTACTTTATCAGTCTTACAAAGTAGGACCAACCCAAGTTTAGCTACTTGCTACAAGGAGCAACAGACAGAAGTAGCAGTATGGAAGCTCAGTATAAATTAAAAACAGCTTTGACACCAGAGAAAAGCCCTTTATCTTAAGTGGAATTAACATTGTTCTTACCATCCCTTCCATGTTTTCCCAAAATCCAGCCCCCCCCCCCCCCTTTTTTTTTTCTCTTCCATATTAAAAAGATTTTTTCATAGAAACACAGAATGGTTGAGGTAGGAAGGGACCTTTGGAGGTCACCTCTTCCACCCCCCCAGCTCAAGCAGGGCCACTCAGAGCAGGTTGCCCAGGTCACTGTCCAGATGGCTTTTGAGACTTCCAAGGGTAGAGACTCCACAACCTCTCTGGGCAACCTGTGCCAGTGCTGAGCATGGGGGGGGGGGGGGGGAGGGGGGGG